TTAGTGAGCTCGACCATCCCCAAATGACACACGTAATTAAAGAGTTGGCATTATAATTACAATGTGTTTATTGTCTGTTTATGGGTTCTGTGCTGTGCATAACGCACTGGGAGATTTCTTTGGTGTAAATGGATTTGGGGCTGTTAATATACTTGGTGGTAAATGCGATTTCATGTGGTTAACATCTCGATACCTCCTTTATCAGCCCTTTGACAGTTGCTCTGTTTGTCGCACACGCAACGCAGTTTTGGCTGAAAGGAGAAACTGGCACCGGAAAAAAACAAATTATTTAGTCATGGGCTTTTAACGGACACAACTGTAAATGCATGTTAAGTAAATGATGCAATTTATTCCCTTCTCCTCATTGCCAGGCTGGCAGCCGCGGGACTTCTGCCAGCTTTAAATAAGTGGTACCCAGATGGTATTCACATGATGCCCACTTGGTTACAAAACGGTCCCGGGGAATAAAGCTGACTGCTACAACAACCAACGGGTCAGCTGGCGAGCCTGTTGCTCTCTACATGTGCAAATGGGTTAATGTTGTGTCACTGTGAAATTCTTTGAGAAGGTTGTACCTCAGGGGTCCCAAATGCATTGGAAGGAGATCTGTCAGTGAGGAGGGCAGGATAGAAAGAGAGAGGATTTCTATTTCTCTGTGATTTTTTTTTGCAGCTTCTTTATTATGCAGAAAAGAGAGAGGGAGAAAAGTGATGAGCAGTGCCTCTGGAGCGATATCAGTTTGTCAACAGAGTGATTGTTTACCTTCTTATTTAATGTGTGGAAGCCTCTCCTCTCCTCTCCTCTCCTCTCCTCTCCTCTCCTCTCCTCTCCTCTCCTCTCCTCTCCTCTCCTCTCCTCTCCTCTCTCCTCTCCTCTCCTCTTCCTGCTTTGCAGCTGTGCTGGTCTCTGGGCTCGCTGTCTTCTGGAGAAGTGGTGAACTGTGTCATCTCCAGCCACTAACAACCAACAGCTGCAGCACTAGCCACCGATGCAGATCGAGGGACAATGTGGAACTGATTTTCTAACGCAGTGAAATAAATAAACAAAGCCCCTGAAAAAAAAAAAAAGAAAAAAGAAACAATACCACAAACAACACGCAGCTTATGCAAATGCCGGGGAAATGTGTTCGCGAATCGATAAGGCTTATTTGTGTACTAAAAGACTATAGAACAGGAGTGACCATTTTACATAGAGGTGCTCATAATCTAAGTTTGCTATTTTATCTGCAGTAGTTCGCCCCAAACATCTGTTTAGTTTTTTCTCCTTTCCGTACATATCAAACCCACACACTATGATGAAACGCACCAACTATTTGTTGTTGAGTTGTCACATGAAACAACTCAGAACCGGGGGGTGTATTTGTTGCTGTGTGTGTACATGTAGGACACCAGATGTTCGAGGCGAAGTTTTAGTCAGTGCGGTGGGAGAGGGGTCAGATTGTCACTAGGTTAAAGGTTGAACAGCATTAAAAAAAAAAAACTGCACCACAAACCCAGTTAATTTGAGGTTAGGCATTTGTGGGCAACTGATGCATTTATGTCACCGAGCTCTTCAGCTAGTTTAGAGTCTTGTTGCGCTGCTGTTGAAATTATGAGTATTCCGTCTAAGTCTGTTGCAAGACAATTTTCGTTTGTGAGATATCTGTTTTTCTCATGAATGAAAAATTAAATCCTAACAGCTCATCCCATTGTTTAGCTTTTTCTCCCAGTCACCTTGTAATTGTTTCTGTGTCATAAGCAGCTATCAGTATTGCTAGAAAATGGTAATGCTTTGAGAGACTCATCTCTTCCAGAGAATGGCTCTCTATCACACTCTCACATTCTTTTAAAAGGGAAAAGGAAGATGAATTTTGCCCATAAAGGCTGTATCACAAGGGCTTTTTATCCTAAATGGCTCTGGGGATTGTTATCTGTGGGAAGTGTGTCCTGCCTCCGTCGTGTTCAATCAAGTGTCCACTTAGCTGTGACTGGGAGTAATTGTTCCCAAGTGGGCCACACACTGACCTGTTAATGTCTGCGTTGACCCTGTAACCTTGTCAGCACGTCTTAGGGAGGAGTTTAAATCATGTGGATCTCCTCTGCGTCTTTACGCTACCGGGTCAAGTGGGCGTTGGTCCTGAAAGACCACTCTCTTGTAATTGTCCCCAGCAGCATGGGTCAGCTAGGGGTGTTCCCAAAGATCGGCTCTTATTAGATGAGGTACTGGGAGTGGTGTGACTTAATGGGTCAAGCCATTGATCCGATACAGCGCCAATGTCCCCTACTGCAGTCACAGTCTCTGCTATGCCTGATCACTGGCTTGACTCCGGCTGAGTGCAAATTAGGCTACACAGGAGATCCATCTCACTTTTTAGATATGGGGTCTGCAGCTTTTTGAGAATATCATCACTTGTTTACATACAGCTTATTGTGTACTTCTCTTAGATTTCCTTCATTTTGACAGTTTTCGTGAGTTACCAAAGTTCTCTATTACCACTCACAGATTTCAGGTACAATGCATGTATCTTCAGTATTGATGATCATGCGGCAATGGCTCAGCAAATCTGTAGATATGATTTCTAACTTGTTTACAGCCAATGCCATATGTGTTAGGTTGGCTGGGGGGATGAAGCTTGCCTGTCTGTACTTTTGAACAGGGACTTTAATGTAAAATTGAATTCCTACAAGTTGCAAAAAAGGGTTGGGTGCTTTGCTAGGTGCTGAAGTAAATAATACTTCATTAGAACCCTACAAAGTGTCTACAATACATGGAGGGCTTTCCACTACCCTGATGAATGCCGTGAGAAATATTCTGATATGTTGTGTTTTAAAAAGTTATCAAATGTGCAGCAGGTGACCCACAGAGTTTTATAAAGAAAAACCATCATTTGGCACCTACCGGTTGCTAATTTCTGACCTCAGCTCATACTCCTCAACAAGGCTGGACAGCTTCAAATACCTGTCTAGTTTGCTTGGAAACTCACAAATGAGTTGTAATTAACACACATGCTCTAAAGTGGCTGGATGTGGAGTTTCTTCAGAAACTGACATGCTTTGTAATTTGAGTGAAAAGGGGGGATTACAACCACATGTTTCTAGAGTAGGAGTGAATTGAGTGTTGAACAGCTGGCATGCAACAGGCCTCAAAGTGAGAGTGCTTTAGTGTTGGAGGTTAAGTTTTAGTTTTATGTTGGTGTCTTAATGTCTTAACATGCTGTATATCTTCAAGTTTTGTTGATGGGTTTTTTTATAGACAGATAACACAATAAAACTTATTGAATTACCATACTTGGTAATTTGCAATAAAGATCAAAAATCAGAGCTAACTCTTGAGCATACCAAATCTTAAGCCATTTTTCTTTGTTTCTGTCGTGAGACCACACATACATCCCATCTCTTTTGAACCTTCTTGTCAAGTACTTTCTAAGTTTCCGAGTGTTGTCTGCTATACGTGGAAGACATGGCAGCAAAGTCAGTCACAGAGTGCCCTCTGTGGCTGATCTTAAAGAGAGGGAGCCTTTTAAGAGCAAGTGCTTCTTTTGAGGGGTGTGGAGACACAATAGTGCAGCCATAAATCCATAGGGGGACAGAGAGGGGGGTCTGTCTGTTGGGATCAACATATTTTTGGGAGTAATGACAGGCATGCAACCGAGTAATCAGAAGGGTCTTATCTGGGGCCGATGGCAGGCCCAGGAATGTGGACGGGCTGTGGAAACAACGGCTACACTAATGGGGTTAGTTGAATTCCACACTGGTGAATTATGAGGAGTTGGGACATCGGGGCTGTGGTTTGTTGTGTCTGGTTGGAGAGCTACACCGCTGCACACAGACACAGAGTTATAGATTTGGTTTTTGACACGCTTTCTCATAGCGCAGGCCAATTAACTGGGAGCTGAATTGCTTTGCTGTGCTGCCAAAGACACAGCCACATTAAACAACAAAGTTGTACACACATGTATCATGGGGCAACAAGCCACACATGCAGCTATGACTCCTGTGACGGGGACAAAACCAGAAGCCATCCATTCTGCTGCCTCATTTGCATGATCTGAATTGTATATGGAAGCCATTAGCATCTTTCCTCTTGTTTATCTGGTTGCAGATGAATGCTTTTGAGCTTTACAGCCGATTTTTTTGCATAAAAAACATGTCTAGCTTGTTTCAAACATTTTGTCATGGTGCAAGTCTCGCTTCATTTATGTAAAAAACTATGTAGTATGACCAAAAATATATGGTTTATTACTGAGACTACTGCAGGCTTTGTAGGTCACTGTATTACTTTGAATGCTTCCTTTAGACTAATAAGACTTCTGGGATTTATGTTGTCTCACCATTATGTAGCTTTGTCGCCTGTTTCAGTGCTTAAATTACCCCTTTTGTGTCATTGTGTTTATATTGTTGTGTAATTTGGGACCAGTAGTAGTATTTAAAAAGAAAATAATTTAAAAAAAATCATTTTCTCATCAGGCAACTTAAAATTGAATGAAATAATAATAAGTTCTATATGTAATATATAAATCATTTCGCAAGTGAGACATCAGTAGTGCTGTGTGAAACTAATTCAGCGTATTTCTATGTGTCTATTACAAGTTAATAAAACAGAATATCGTGACTTGTTTACCATTTCCAAGGGATAAATGAACAACCACAGAAACTAGTCGCTGTGACACAAAGTTTTGCTGATATCGTACATTGTGTGCGTGTGTCATCGGTGTTTATGTGCTTGTTCAAATGTGAAAGAGAGATAATTTGATATGCATGTAGGCCAAGAGATGCCAACAGGAATCAGTGTGTCATAACTTATCAAATACTTGTGGCGAACGATTGATCACGTTTACTTTTGTCACTTCTTATGTCATTTCTGTACATGTGGGCTGAGCGGACTCGGGTAGGGGCTTTCCCCACCTTTTCACTTCCTGTTTGTAATCGTTGTATCTTTCCCTTTCCTCCTCTCTCTGTCTCTGTCTCTCTCTCTCTCTCTGTTTGTGTCCTCTGCGAAACCCCCGTGGTCCTGCCCTCAAGACTGTCAGCTGAATTCTGATTGGAGGAATGGAGTGCCAGTCTGCTGTGCACCAGTGATCAGGGTATGTGGCAATCCTCCCACTAACCTTTCTCTCATTGCGTACAGTAATATGCGTGCTGTTTGTCTGTGAAATGTCTTCAAAATACCCTTAGAGTTGACGATTAGGTTTGTTTGTGTCAAGCCATAATTTGCTTGAAACAGTTCCCAACAGAGTTATTGTGAGCTTTTTTATCAGTTTTAATGTTCATTTTTTTTTAGCCCACTGAGCACGGATGTGAATGTTCAGACACAAATAGTGCTGAAGAGAGCTCAGTGTTTGGAGAAATAACTCATTGTGGTTTTGCTGACGAATATTGCAAATATTTTAAATTAGATTGGGTTCAGACCTCTGAATTGCTGCCCTTGTGTCCAGTTTTTTTCGCCAGAAGTTTAAAAAGGTCTGTGTTTCCAGGTGAAGAATCAGTTCAGCTAGCCCTGGTTTACTTTACAACATGAATTCTGTCTCTTAAAATATAACGGGTGTTGTTCCAGTTTTGTTTTTTTTTTGCATATGACGTAGTTGAAACAGTCATGGGTACATTGCAGTTTCAAGGTGGCATTGCTCAATCATGGTGTTGACTGCTATTTAAGGTCACGATTGGTTCTCTAGCATGTAAAAGACACCATATGTGTTTAGAAGGTTAAAAAAAAACTTGAGCAGGATTTTGATAAGCCACAGTTACATTTTTAAGCAACAGATTTAGTTTTTAAAATGATTGCCCCATTTAAAACACAGGCTATCTGAAACAAGTAAACACTCAGCTGATCAACAGAATCCTAACAGTAATTAAACAGAGATTCCACTCCTCTATCAGGTTGGCCAAACTCCTACACTGATTACAACAAAATTTCACATAGATGTCTAATAAGATAAAGTAATGAACTGATTACATTTTCCTGTTCAAAGGTCAAACGTCAAGTCAGTCTCTGGGACTTCACGTCTGTCCTTTTCTTGTGAACATGATGTACCAGCAGCGCCTAGAGGGAATTTTTTTTTTTTTTCAAATTTGGCACAAACTTTTAGTTGAACCCAAGTGTGAACTTGTTAGAATATGCTGGTCGAAGGTCAAAGTCACTGTGACCCAACTAATTTTATTTTGGGGCATAACTCGAGTATTTTTCTGCTAACTGTGACAAAATTTCACACAAATCTCTAGTACGGTAAAATGATGAAGCGGTGACATTTTATATACAAAAGGTCAAAGATTAGCTTCACTGTGACATCATACTGTTCAACAAAACGCTTTTCTGTCATTATTTTTTAATTATCCAATGTCAATCACATTAGTTAATGTCACAAGGAGAGACTGTGACCATATTTCACATTTGGTCAGATTCTGAACGGGTGATACTGATCTTGGGTGCCCACCTTGAAATGTTGGTGACAGGAGTGATCTTCTGTGCTGCTGGGGTGATGATTTGAATTTGTTGTTCCTTTGTCCACATTCTCTAAGTGAAGACAGCATGTTTCCAACTAGAATCCTACATCTTGCCGTAGTGATGGCTTCCATTTAGCCAAAAATACTCTGAATCAAGTTTCTTTTAAGTCTTCCCTGCCTATATCATAGGAGTCCTGACAGTTGTATATGTAAACTGCATTGTGACTATTTATCAGACACATATACCTGCAAGGTGGTAATTCTGGTTTGATAACTGAAGGATTTATTGAGCAACTTTTTTAAAAAATCACTGCATCTAGCTTCTAATTGAGAATTTTGCTGTTTTTTTTATAGGTTCATAGTTTTTAGGAACCTGTGGTTTCTCTCATGTTGAGCAGGATGAGTGTTGCATCAACACATCATCAGAAGGGTTAAACTAACATGTTTCACAACCGTCTAACCCCAAGTCACGTTCCCTATGAGCGAGTGACCAATGCATTGCTCTGTGAATGTGAAAGTACTACGCTGTGAAAGAAAAAGGTTGTGCTACATCTATAACACAAGACAAAATGAGAGCAGAATTGTAAAACAGAATGGACAACAATTGTTTATCCCAATTGTATTGTTTTTATACTCGTTGAAAGCCAAAAATCAGAATTAAAAATACAACTAAGTTCATTGCTTAACCCTAGTTTTTGACAACACATGACATCTCCTTGAGTACTGGCAGCTTAATGACATATTATAAATCAAACGGTTAATGAATTAATGATCAAATATGTATTAGTTGCAGCCCTACGAGTCTGCTATGTAAATAAAAACAGAACATTTGACAGAGATTTTCACGTGTAATATTTTGATATGCAAACTGTTATTACTTGAAATTTTTCATCCTAGTGTGTATGAATGTAAACTGCACAGTTTGTTATTTTATGATGAATGTAATAAAAATGGACAAGTCTTTAGTGCCTGACGGGAGTAATAATTAATAATAGTTAAATATAATTGCAAACCTAAAATCGATGCGATATCTGACATCTGTTAATATAGCATATTGCCCTCTGACTGAATGTTGCACCATCAGCTGCTTTGCGTTCGTGACTCTCCTTTGTTTTTTAATATCTTTGGTGTACAGTAGTCGTTCTGTCCCTCTGCTCACCTCTGTCCGCCCTGGGAGCCCTGATTGGCTGAACACTTTCTGCACTATAGTCTGGCTGCTTGCCAGCCGTGCTGCCAGTGGCTGCCGTGCCCCCTGATCAGAAGAGAATGTGACATTTGTGCAGAGGTAATGGAATCTGTGTGCAATTAAATCTCTGACTGTGAAGAGGAGTCTATCTCCTCCCTGCTTCCCCCATCTCCTGCCATTCCCAGCAGCAGGGGGGGTCAGGCACGATGATGAAACCGTCCCAGCAGGCCCCTCGCTGCACTCTGTTTCCCAATCTCCATGTCAGGTTGTATTTTTTAACTTTGCCGCACTAGCCCTGCCTCTATCTGGCAATTAATTACAGAAAATGTCCATTAGGAATCTCTCCAAATATTGTATAGAATGAATATTTAATTATAAAAATGGCGTGACGTGGCGGCAACATTACCAGTGCTTTAATGGATATCGGTTGCAGGTTGTTATTTTGTAGTGAGTGTTGTCGGGTGTTTAAGCAGGCTTTGTAGCAGGAGTGGCAAGAGAGCAAGACTGAGAGAAAGAAAGAGAAGCAGAGGGCAGATTCATGCATGGATGAGAAGAGGGTCATCTCTCTGCTCCTCTCTCTTTGCTGCCCTGCCACTACACTTAACGCCTCATTTGTGGGCTTTGTGGCCAATGGCTTGAGTCTGTGATCTGTTGCCATAAAAGGCAGCTTTTTCCTCTCTGCTGATGGGGCACTTGCTTGTGGGTTAATACCAGACCCCCTCTGCAGGCAGACTCATATCTAATGGATATGTGCATCTCCATCAGGACTGCTCATAAACATAAAACTCTCTGCTGCCATTGTACTTGGTGGAGCTCGCTGAGAAGGACAGAGCCACGCCATGCAAGCATTTCCCTTGAACTTGTATAGGAGTAGTTCCTATCTGTGTTCCTTGTCCACACTGGGTGGACGGAGATGCAGGATATCCAGGTCAAGGTTTGGCTAAATCCTCCCTTGTCGTTTACACCCTGTGCGGGTCTGTCCAAAAAGCACAGTCTAAGTCTATGTTTTCTGGCAGATCAGCCACTGGATAGAATATTCACTATGAATATTGAATTGAGAATTCATGTTCCAGTTCATTTAAACAATGAAAGATTACAGTTTATTTCTCCCATTCTGCTGCTGAATGTCAGAACCCAGCTTTAATGTGACTGTTTTCCTGTCACACATTTTTGTTTTTTTTTTCTCTCTCGCATTCAGCTTCCCTGGTAATGTATTTTGTCATGATGAATTATTAATGTCAGCGCTTGTTGAAGGGAGTGTTGTCTCAGAAAATACGAGGGTCACTCTGTTTCCTTTTATTTCTGCAACCAAGGGTTAATTTAAGCCAGCAATCAAATGAACCTCCCTATTTCCTTACTACACTATGAGTCGTAATAAAAAACTGCTGGGTCTTAACTTTATTCACTAACATCCTGCTAAACAAATACGACACTATTCCTCTTGGCTCTCTCTGTTTTCCTCTGTTGCAGATGGCTTTGGTGCGTTTTGTGATAAAGGGGGAAAAAGGCTTTGCTTGGGGAAGGAGAGAGAAAGAGGCTTTACTCCATTAGTGTCATTCGAATGGTGAATTAGATCAGTCTGACAGATAGATGCGGAAAATTGTTTTAATTGTATAATTATCTCTGGTTAGCCACTTGTGCGGAAAAGTGCTGTGATGTGGGTGAAGGCCAGGGAAGAGCACATTTTGGCCTTTATGTGCCTATTTGTCTTTGCACAGGAAATGAACAACAATCGGGGGTCCTGAGGATAAAACATAAACACACCCAAACTGGCGGACACTCACACTCGCCCCTGGGCAGACGTGCTCAGTGAGATGCTGCCCTTTAAAGTAATGTGTCTGGCCAGTGAGCCTTCTCCTCGGGCAAAGAGGAAGGCGCCTGTAACTGTCTGATCAAGATGGCACAACATTCACACAAATAACAGCTATGCAGAATAAGGCCCAGTTAACACTGCTGGCATTCTGAAAAGAGAGAGGCTCAGTGTATTTGTAACATGCCTAATCACATTTAGCTGATTTCTGATCAGATTTAGCATGCAAGTCTGTGAGCAGATGGCGCTAAATGTTTGGCTTCGTAACTGTCACTTGCTGTGCATGTTTTCTTTCTCCTGCGAAACATTCCTATGAATGAGCTTGCATGAAATACTCATGGTAATTGCTAGTTTGGTTGTAAAATAATAATGGTTATTTATTCCTCCTGTTTCAAAAAGTGATCTTCTGTCTTATGCTTTCATAATTTTGCTTAGAAGTAGTTTCACATTGCATCTTTGACCGTAGATCATCATCACTGACAAAGCATTAAGCCGCTTATATTGAATATTACCGCTTTAGCAGAGGTTTTGGGTTCGGATTAAACAGCGTCGGGTCTGACATAATCTTCATTCTTTTGATTTAATTGCCAATTTGATCAAATAAGCACTGCCCTGTTTGATGTCCTGTAAATCTGTAAATGGTCATT